GGGCGGGGAGCATCACGCTGCAGCTGCTCATCGTCAACGGGGTGCGGCTGCGGGCGGCTGCGGGCGGCCTCGTCCTCCGCTGGGCCTAGCTTGTGCTTTTTCTTCTGTCTGTTGCGCTATTCTTGGTTTTGTTTCGTGAGTGTTCTGTTGTTTTCTTTGTTATTCTCGGTCTGTCTGCTGTACTCTTTTCGTCTCATGTTTTCTTCTATAATTTTCTATGTTATTCTTTGCTTGTCATGTTTTGTTCTATAGTTCTGTTATTTTCTTTCTTCTTCTGTCTGTTGCGCTCTTGGTTTGTTTCGTGAGTGTTCTGTTGTTTCCTTGTTATTCTTTCTGTCTGCTCTACTCTTTTCGTCTCATGTTTTCTTCTATAATTTTCTATGTTATTCTTTGCTTGTCATGTTTTGTTCTATAGTTTCTTATGTTATTTTTCTTCTTCTTCTGTCTTTTGCGCTATTCTTGGTTTTGTTTCGTGAGTGTTCTGTTGTTTTCCTTGTTATTCTTGGTCTGTCTGCTGTACTCTTTTGTCTCATGTTTTCTTCTAGTTATTCTTTGCTTATCATGTTTTCTTCTATAGTTTCTTATGTTATTTTTCTTTTCTGTCTGTTGCGCATTCTTGGTTTTGTTTCGTGAGTGTTCTGTGTTTTCCTTGTATTCTTGGTCTGTCTGTTGTACGATTCTTTTCGTCTCATGTTTTCTTCTATAATTTTCTATGTAATTCTTGCTTGTCTGATGTTTTGTTCTATAGTTTTCTATTGTATATTTTTCTTCTTCTTCTGTCTGTTGCGCTATTTTGGTTTGTTTCGTGAGTGTTCTGTTGTTTTCCTTGTTATTCTTGGTCTGTCTGCTGTACTATTCTTTTCGTCTCATGTTTTGTTCTTTAGTTAGCTATGTTATTCTTTGCTTGTCTCATGTTTTGTTCTATGGTTTTCTATGTTATTTTTCTTCTTCTTCTGTCTGTTGGGTTATTCTTTGTTTTGCTTCGTGATTGTTCTATTGTTTTCTATGTTATTCTTGGTCTGTCTGTTGTGTTATTCTTTTTGTCTCCTGTTTTATTTTATAATGTCTATCATTCTTTAATTATCTATTGTTTCATTCTTTAATTATCTATTGTATCATTCTTTCTATCTATAGTATGCTCGTAATCACTAGGTGAATTATTTTCTTTCCTTTCCTTATTCTATTTGTACAAATTATCAGGTTATTTTACCACTTTTTATTTTTTTTATAAATTGTTTATTTCTCTACCTTATCAATCTATATAATCCTGTGTTTGTTTATTTGATTACATGTTTATCTATCTATTCATTTTATTCGCTTCTCTATTCTTGCACATGTTTGTTTAATCATTCTTTTTTAACTTATTTATCTCTTGATAAATTGAAACTGAACTCTATCATGAAACTATGATTGATGAAATAATTGCTAGAATGTGCAATATGTTGTGTGGTAAGATTTGTTGTGGAATTCATGTTGGTAAATTCCTTTGTGAAAAGGGATTGTGAGCTCCTATATGTATATATATGCGTATATGTCGATATACATACATGCATACATACGTGCACACACACACGCACACACACACACACAACACACACACACACACACACACACACACACACACACACACACACACACACACACACACACACACACACACACACACACACACACACACACACACACACACACACACACACACACGCACACACACACACACACACACACACACACACACACACACACACACACACACACACACACACACACACACACACACACACACACACATCCAATGCTCTTACAGTGACTTTTTTTTCCTAACAGAGGAATTTCAACTATGATGAAGCGACGTTCAAGTGCGACATCATGAACGAGACAGCACGGATGGCCTTCTATGCTGTGGAGTCGTGGGTGCCATGCGGCCTCATGCTGACCGGCTGTTTCAGCATCATCTGCCAGCTGTGGAAACACATGAAGAAGCTGAAAAGCGCAGGCATGTAGGTATCTTAAGTCTGTGTATGTTGTAGGAAATGGAAGTTTTGATACAGTAAATTATTGTTATTATGGCAGTTATTATCATTGTTGTTATTTTCATCATTATCATCCATACTAGCATTACAACTATTATTATTCATATTGTTATTATCATTACCTTCATTACTATTATCATCATTATTATTATCGTTTTTATCATTACTATTATTATTATCAGTATGATTTTCATCATCATTATTATGATTTTCATCATCATTATTATCATTATCATAATACTAATAACAATACTGCTACTACTAGCGCTGTTGCTACAACTAGTAATGCTACTATTAACGAGAATGGTAACGATGATGGTAACTATGTTGATAATCATAGTAATAGTAAAAGTGATAATGGTAATGAATAATAATAATGATATGATGACAATAATAAAAACAACAATAATGATCATAATAATAATAAAGTAATTATCATCATTAATTTATTTCAATATTTCCTTTATCTCGTACTGTAATCTCTATTTGGACATCACATTTTTTTTTATTTCCTCTTCTCTCTGTTTCTCTCTTTATTAATATATTCATCGTTTTTTTCATAATTATCACTTGTCTTATTCTTTATATATTTATTGTATTTCCGCGTTCACTAGCACCCCGTCCTCTCTGTGTCTCCCGCAGGGCCAAGGAAATCACGGAGAAGCGGTGCAGAGACATGTTCAAGTCGACAGTCCTCGTTCTCTGCCTGTTGCTCCTCTTCCTCGTGTGTGTGATTCCCATTTGCGTGTACAATATTAAGGTCATTATGGAGGAAGATCTGGACGGTTACGATGTCCCCCTCGGCATCTTCATCTTCATGATTTACTGGATCCAATACGGGGTGAATTATCTAGTCTATGCGGCCATCAACGCGAACTACAGGAGGGCTTATAGGCAGTTCGTCCTCGCGGTTCGGAATGCGCTCTTCGGGGCCCGGAGGAGGGAGGTGAACGAAGCCAAGGTGTTCCTCACGTCCTCGCATCCCCACCTGATGGCCGGCGTCTCCCACGTGCCCCCGACGCTCTCGCATCTCCACACCGTCACGGCCATCCCTCTCCACGCCTACCGCCTCCCCCACGACCGCGTCCTGAGGTCCCACAGCCTCCACCCCGACGTCCACAAGCCCTGTCGCTGGGACCCTCGCGAGCGCCGGGTGAGGACCCTCTCCGCCGGCAGCATCCATTCCTGGAACAGCCTCAGCCACTGGAGCGGGTCCTTGTCCTCCAGATGCTCGGTGGTTACCATGGAGACGAATCTTGGCACCTACTGAGGAGGCGCGGGTGGGGTGGGGTGGGGGTGGGGGGGGCTTAGGGGCGGGTGGGCGGCGGCGGGCAGTTCTAGGGAAACACAAGAGTGTGTGCATGGAAATAAGCACACACGCACATGTACCTATACGATACATACAAAAGGATACATACACAAGCAAACACGCACATGTATACACACAAAATATATGTGTATGTATATATATATATATATATATATATATATATATATATATATATATATATATATATATATATATATACATATATACATATATATATATATATATATATATATATATATATATATATATATATATATATATATATATATATATATATATATATATATATATATATATATATATATCACATACATGCATAAATATATACATATATGTACACCGTTTTATACCCATACACACACATACACATATCTATACACAGACATACATATATACAGATAAATATACTTAGACATGCACATGAATATACATGTGTGTGTTTATATGTCTGTAAGTTTATCGCCTCAGTTGAAACTCACATGTTTAACGATATGATATATACTGTGTGCGGAGAATTAATACTGAAAAGGATTGGCTCCTGCCCAAACAGAAAGTTCTCAGGTCGTCCATTGAGTGCCATTCTACAACTACTGCCCACACCGACATCTTGAACCTCATCTCACGAGTGACAACGTCTTAATACTTAATCTTATATATGAGTGTTATATACTATATATATACATTAGGTAAACTCACACTGAATATATATACTCAGATCATTACCTATCATCTCGATATCACAATAGGTCAATATGTAGAAACTATACCGATTGATCTACGGGATGATTACCTCGCTTAACACAATCCAATTTATTCCAACTAATAGAAGAAAACATCTCAATAACATACTATATATATATTATACTATAAATAAAACATAATACCTCTTTTTTCTTAAATATATCCTCAGCGGCGTGGATTTGAGCCTCTCTCCTAATACTCGCTATTCCCACTGAATCTCACATAAGGCGAGCGGTGGAGTCAATTCGTACAAGTAAACCCTATCATATCACTGAACCTACAGCTATAGATATTACATATTGCAGTAATATATACTACGCGTGAGTTCCTATACGATGTAGTGATATATATCCCGCTTTATAGGTAGTATACGTCGCAGCTCCAAGTGACTACCGTTGAGTCGTATCATATATCATACCCTATATATATACGTTAGCATGGGTACGGCATCCTCCGCTCCATACCCTCATACGGCCCATACTAATCAGTATACCTTACACCCGTGACCTCACGTAGTACTATCTGAACCCTAGTAAGCCACGTGTAGCGTATATTATTATACTATACTAGTTGGGCTATGGATTAGTGCCTAACTTGGGCGGCTCGATCTCTCGTAATATATATGCATGTATGCATGTACGTATGTATGGTAAAACGGGCTCGTAGTTCATCAGAGCGGGCTAGTGTGCGTGTGATCGTGGGTGTCTTGGTCCTCATTTCTCATTTCATTTTTCATTTTGAATGCTCACCCGCGAGTCATAATTCATTATGCCGTCCACGCAGTATACAACCAGGCTTGAGCAAAGGTATTCCCACTGTATGTAGCCCCGAGTGAGGAAAGACAAGGGAATGAATATCTGTGAGTGCAGATAATTGTGCATGATCTTAAACAGAAAGTTGTGAATGATAAAAAAAGTATCATGGGCATTACGAGTGACAGAGTGGCGGTGGTCTTTGAATTCTTGATGATCGAGTCTATAACTTATACCTTTATTCAATGTCATCTATCATTTAACATTCTATCATTTTATTGTCTCAGGGTGCTCTCTTTGTAAAAACACGTGAGATTAAATAATAAGGAATGGTAGTGGAGACTATTAGCTCTGTGCTTGGAAAGATATTATGATATATGATAATTATTGATGTAATTTATACTTCTGGATCCAGGAAATAGGAGCAGAAACAGTACAACTATCATAACTATTAAATTAACACTCATAACTACAATCGTTGGGTATCTCGGCATTTCATATTTCTACATACCCCCATACTACATGCCCTCAAAAATACTTTATTCCAAGCCGCTAGAATGAAATTACGCGATTAAATACATGCCACAAACAATCTTCCTCATTCTTTTTGTGCGTCTCTCCGAATCGAGAGCGAAACCTCACTGAAATAACAAAACAAATGCACACTCCCCTGGGAGGTACAAATTTACTCGAATAAACCTAATCGTGATCCATTCTTGAAATCCCCTGAAAACGAAATATCATCACTAGCAATAAAGTAAGATATATACAGTGCCTGAGGTAGACGTCAATATGCACAAAAAAAGAGTAAACACAAAATGAAGTGAAATCAATGTCGCCAACGGCTGCCCATATACCGGTGCTGCAGGCTCTTCTGCAACCTATGTACAAGAAACACCACATACCACCACTTCCTTTTTACCAACTCACGGGAACGCCACCGCTGAAGGAGTGGAGAGCTATAACCAGCCGCGTCTCTGCCAATGCGCCCCGCTGGTTTCACCCGTGTAATGTGTGGCGCTATGTGTAAGTGGATAGAGTGTGTGCAAGATTTTCGCATTCCTGTACCGTGTTGTGTGTGTATGTCGTGATAGTGACTCTGTGTGTCTGTAACCTAGCACTTGCAAGCACCCGCCCCTGCAAACGCCCTCCGCCCTCACCCTGATACTCGTGCGTGTCTCAGTCACTTGCGAGGTGGTTCGGTGATCACGTGCTCTCGAGTGCGCCCGCCGAGCTCTCGCGTGTGCCACACTCCTCCGCCCACCGCCGCCCGCCAACCCTACCGCCCACGCACCGGACTGGAGCACCCGCCCGTGTCCCCCGCCGCCCCACGACACCGTCAGCGTCGTGGAGGTGGCAGCTCCCGCGATGTGCAACAGTGTGGTGGCGCAGCAGGTGGCACTGCAACGCATGTGCGAGACAATGTAATTATGTGTTTGAATATGTATGGTGTCGTGTGTGTCATATCTGATAACAGAACGTGGCACAATAAGAGATAAGTGAGAGTGAGAGAAAAGAAAAAAGAAGGAAAGAGACAACTCGAGAACTAAACGGTAAAGGAATCTACCAGAAGTAAAGCCTGATTATTAGTACAAGATATGAAGCAGACCAAAACAGATATAATACGTAAGGACTTACCCGTGCACGTGCAGCACATGGCGTAAAGTGGAGCAGTGGAGGACGATGAAAGGAGAGATGAATTCCTCACGCTGGTGAATGAGGCTAGATGTAGTGTTGCTCCCGAGTTCACTGCGTATACGCGAACCCCGCGGGGATCACAGCAACGCGTCTGCCTTTGCTAGAACCTGGCGACCAGCAGATGAGGATAGAGTTAATTTCTGATCTCTATCTGTCTGTCAGTGTCTGTACTTTCAATCTGTGCGATGGTCTGTCATAGGTGGCATTCGTCTAGTACGTGTCTGTCTGTCTGTCTAGGTCTCTCTCTGCTACGTGTACGCGCACCCCAGATTCTCCCGATCTGTTACTCTCAGTTATATATACACGTAGTATAGGAAAGGGTGAATCAGATATAGGCATGTCATCATGAAGTGAGAAAATGAAGAGAAATAAATCACGTGTGTCACATAAAGGTTCACTATTTAAATTATGTTAGCGAGGCTGTTTATACTCGATAGAGTGATGAGAAGTCATTATCATAGAAATACTCGATCGATATCAACAGATAAGATTTACACTTAATTCATACCAAATTATAATCAAGAATCCTGTACAAAGTAAAGATTAAAATAGCAATTAAAAGCACACTTAAGCAACCAAATCTGCTTTGAAAATTCGAAAATAAGCAAATCACCCCCTCTCAGCCTGTATCATCTTACACCTTAAAGAAAACGAGAACAAAGGCATGGGACCTCGGCCCCTCCCCCCCCAAAAAAAAAATAATAAAAAAATAAAAAAGACTGTCAAATGCTCTTGTTTTCACTCTAGTCATACCCTAAAAAATAGGAATTTGAACTAGAATACCTTGTAAATAAACAAAATTCACGAAGGCATTTTACGTTTTAACTTTTCACTGCAAACACACATAAATAAACAGGCACACAGACATACGCACACCCAGTAATGTTAAACTTTCCCCTTTCTATTGTTATCATTTTCATTTCTTTTGTTATCGTATCACTTTCACAGAAATACGATTTCTATTGTTACTATCATTAATACTACCACTATCCTTAATGCTACTACTGCTTCTAGTTCTAGTACAACTACTCCATTTACTATTAATACAACTTCTATTACTACTACTACTATTATTACTCCTCCCCCTCCTACTTCTACTGCTGTTACTACTACTATCACTATCACTACTATTGTTACTACTACTACTAATGAAAATGCTACTACTAATAATAATGCTAGTACTATCAATATTACAACAACAATAACAGCAACTGCGACTACTACATCTACAACAGCAACAACAACTACTACTAGTACAACTGCTACTACAACAACAACAATTACTACTACTACAACAACTAGCAACAACTACTGCAACAACAACTGCTACTAACAACAACAACAAAACTACTACTACTACTACAGCAACAACAACTGCTACTACTGCTACAACTACAACTACTACAACAACTACAACAACAACAACTACAACTACTACTATTCCTACAGCTACTACTGCCCTACCTTGGCTACTTCTATCTCTGCTATCACCGTAATTCTAACCAATCTATTACCATTCATTACTAAGTAGATACTTCCTCGAGACAGCATTAAAGGAATTCATAAACAAATTCTGATACCATCTGTAATTTTGAGAATCTTAATAAAGCGAAAGAATTAATCAATGGAATTTGGAAGCCTGTGGTATGAAGGGAATATTGTATATTTTCACATTTTATAGTTCCTTTCTTTTTTATATTTTCTTCGGTTTCTCTGTCATATTCGTCTCTCTCTCTCTCTCTCTCTCTCTCTCTCTCTCTCTCTCTCTCTCTCTCTCTCTCTCTCTCTCTCTCTCTCTCTCTCTCTCTCTCTCTCTCTCTCTCTCTCTCTCCCTGATCGCCTATCCCAAGCATGTGCGTCTTGCCTCTTGCAGTTTTCTATACATATTTGTCTCTGTCTTTTTTCTCGTTTGTCTACTTGACACTTTCTCATTCCTTCTGTCTCCCTCCTTCCGTCGTTTATAAATCAGTGTGCTTTGCTTCTCTCTATCCCTTATTCCTTTATTTATTTGATAATGATAACGAATAAACATGGACTAACGATTTTAAGGATGATGTCTTTGTAATTTTCATTTCTCTTCTTAAAAAGCTCAATAGATCTAATATCCCTTTAAAAAGACATAAATAACCATGAGAAGTTATTTATTATTTTCATAACGTTGTCAAAGTTATATGTAGGAGGATGGGGGTAGGGGTGAGGGTGGAGGGGGTGGGGAGTGAAGAGAGGATGTCAAAATTGGATTTATTTCCGGGAATTGATACTCCAGCAAACTTTATTTACGTGTTTACAGTGTTATAAAATCATCCCCGCCTTAATATCACCCAGATTGAATTGGCTACTGGCCATTTTGGGTTCAAAATTGTTTACTACAATCGGGTGGGCGTGTATTCCAGCCTAGAAATGAATTAATGTAAATATCAAGATACTATATAAATGCATGAGATAAGTATTATTAATAGATTCAACTTATGTCATACAAATATCATTTACTCATCTCTCGTTTCCTGTATTGGCATGGATAATGAGGGTGCGGTATTTAGAGATAGGTCAGAACCAAATAAGTGTGTAGAACAATTACCTTAAGTTACGATCATCGAACTTGACCCAAAGTTATGTTGTGTTGTATTACTGGCTCTTAAGTCTTGCATAACTCGTAGAATAATGGAAAACTGGAGATTAAAGAATTTAAGTATGCCATTTCTACATAATGTGTTTTACTTATTCCGCACTACTGATGACTCCTTGCATGAACATGTATATCATACAAAAATTTAGATTGATGAAAAAAAACACTAGAGAAAATAAAGTTTAAAATCATAATAGATAATGTTTATCATATATTTCTCACCTCATTTATATCATTAAGGTAAAAGAAAAGATATTGCAAGGTTATTTGCAAACACTATAAACTGTAAAAACTTTTCGATCTATATTGATTTAGCGATTGGTTTGATAAATATGAAAACTATTGTCATCGAAAATAACGGCTTATTATGAATATAAAGTAGAGGATTCGCATAATGTTAATTTGTAGTCATATGTTCTGGCGCTGTTCATGCTATTTGCAATCATTACCATTGTTACTAAGAGTAAAACATTTTTTTTTAGTGATCCGCATGAAATCTTTCGTTCATAGTGACTCTGCAAATTCGCAAACATATATAGTAAATGGAACAAGATATCGTTTTTTTTCTATTTTCAAGGATAAATACAAGAATAGTGAAATTTAGAACAGCAATTTAAAAATGACTGCATATCTTATTATTCATCAGTGTGTGTGCGGGAGTGTGTCTGTGCGTGCGTGTGTAAATGTTTAAATATAGTCAATGATAATCATGGTCACAACACTACGAAAATATTATCATTAATACAACCTATATCACCTTTTTTATACATGAATTTTATTGATCTAAATTTAGCTTTACCTTAATAATCAATTCAAAACTTCTTGCATAATACTCAGTGCCGACGTATTTACACAATGTCATCAGTACTATACTTAATAAAGAGTGCATCAGGCTCTAACAACGCTAAGAAGGTTGCAAACAAAATTTTCCAAAAATAAAAAATGAAAGTAAATAAATAAAATAAAATAAACAATAAACCAAACAAAGACAGAAAATAATAATAATGATAATAAATTAACGAAATAATTGTATAATTTCTCTGTTGTCTTTCTCTTTCTCTCTCTCTTCTTCCCTCCTCCCTCCTTTCCCCAATTCGCTCAAAAATGGAGAAAAATTCTGAAAATTGTCAATAAAAGATTGTCCCTCCTGCCTCCTTCCTTTCCTCTCTCTGAATTAAGTATTCCATAGGTTTCTTCGGGTCGTTTCCCCCACTCATATGACGTGACCTGAGGCCTTCAAAGTGGAAAAGACTAAAGGCACTGTCACACTAGCACTTTTTCCGTCAATCAATTTTAAACATAAATACAAACATTCTCGAATATAGCTCTTGGTTTGACTATGCTTGGCTGAAAAAGTTAACGGAAAGGTTTTCAGACGGAAACGATCATTATCGTCTGACTGGAAAATCACAATTCGCTCAAAAAATGGAGAAAATTTCACAAAAAATTTACGGAAAAAGTACTAGTGTGACAGCACCTTATGCGAACGCCTCGTGCAGTGTTTCTCAATCTTTTCTGTTCTGTTGCCCGCCACCAATATGTAATGATGATCTCTATGGCCCCGTTTAGTCATCTTTCAGATTCAGTTATTACCAGCTATGAATAGTGTAATGGTGCCAACAGTTGTAGGATAAGAACTATATATATAAAGATTCCACTGTACTGATATGGGAGAGATAGTTATATGTAGGGACTGTACGTGAGACAAAACCCAGATTAATTCGAAGTCACATTTTTCATATTGGTCCATAGAAGATAAAAATTCATATAGACGTGTGTGTGTATGTATATGTATACATACGTATATATGTATATTAGATGTATGAAGATATATAACATACATAATGTATTTAGACATATAACGTATATTAAGAGAGAGAGAGAGAGAGAGAGAGAGAGAGAGAGAGAGAGAGAGAGAGAGAGAGAGAGAGAGAGAAAGGTACATAGATACATAGATATGTATATGGACCTATAACACACATACACACGCACATCCGTATATACACACACATATAGAGATAGATATATACATGCATACATAGACACATAGATATGTGTATTTATATAACATATGTAGAGATAAATAAATGTATAGATAGCTATGAATATATGCATGTATGCATGTATATGGATATAGATATAGACAAATAAGCAATTTAAATGCAGTTTAAAGGAAGAACGTATATGTATGAATATGTTTCTTTTCTGTTGTATGAACATATTCCCCGTGAGTTAGAGAGAGAGAGAGAAAAAGAAAGAGAAAGAGAGAGAGAGAGAGAGAGAGAGAGAGAGAGAGAGAGAGAGAGAGAGAGAGAGAGAGAGAGAGAGAGAGAGAGCAACCATGCATTGTCACTTAAACAACCAATCATAATTTTTATTACATTCTCAAACAAACAACTGATCTCTTATCACATCTCTACGAAAAATTTCGCCCACTTTCGACCACAACCAATAACTAAACAGGTAGACAACATAAGAGAAATGACTAGAGTTGATATTTCTGAATGAATGTCTATGTAAATAATGCAAATAGTTAGAAATACTGAAATGATAATTATAGATGAACTAATGATAAGCACATTTTGAGTAATTACTATTATTGATATTTTGATCGAATAACGAAGTAAATAATAAAATTGGTAAGGAATTATGGAAGGATTAGAAATAGAACCACAATTTTTTTATAGGGAGAAAGGAAATCATTTTTTACTTACAGCCATCTATTTCTTATTATAACTAATTTTTCATTTGGGAGAGGGATAAGGTACAAATCTCAATACACACACACACACACACACACACACACACACACACACACACACATATATATATATATATATATATATATATATATATATATATATAATATATATATATATATATATATATATATATACATATATATACATATATATATATATATATATATATATATATATATATATATATATATATATATTATATTTATTTATTTTATTATTATTATTTTTTTTACCGTGTTATTGTCCTAAAAAATTGGGTTTCTTGGTAAGGAATTTCTATCAACTATATGTAGGCTTATCGAATATTCTATGACGATTTATTCCTAACCAGCGTCGTTAACGATAAACAAAACTAATAACGGCAAATCCAGGAATTTTGTTCTAACGTTGCTTTGAATATCGACGATAACATTCATGCGTAACATTAAGGAAATTAATTGAAATATTAAGACAAGAAAAAAGGTATCGATAACCGCAGAGTGTCGTCAACGCCTCCGATAGCAAAGGCTTAAAGAACATCGGATGAAATAAAAATAAAATGATTATAATCATAAAAGT